AGAATAGTACATAAACTCAGAATAGGACGTGAAGTTTGAGATCTGATGATGATGGCTTCACTGATTTTTCTTTGCATAAATTGTAAGCATAAGTCCTCCAAAGGGATTGCCCATCCTCTTGGACAGTTTCTTCAGAGAATATGATACTACTTGATTTTGGGGACTGTCAGCATAAGCACTGTGAAAGGAGTAAGCTTCTTGCAGGCAAGTTGCTAATCCCAGCTGATGGACCTCTTCATTTTAACCCACAAACAATTTGCTGAAGAGGTTTATAAATGCAGGTATCATGACATCACATTGCAGGAATCAAGTGGCTGAGGACTAGATTTTGACTGCTTGACTCAAGGGCCTCTCACATTTTCACACTGGCATAGATGGTGAGGGTAAAGGGAGGCTGCAAAGGGGTATGAAGTGGTGTGTAAAGAGTGACCTTAAATTGGAGCTGGGCAAATGCACAGAGAGTGCATCAGATTTCTTTCTTATGATAATCTGTCAGGAAATTATGCCCTGCTTTACGTCAGAACTTCCTTCAAAACTAATTAAAATGCTGTGCAGACACTTGTGTTTTCTGGTAGTTCTTCACTTCTTGAATAACCCGAAGTTCCTGGTGAAAAAGAATCCACAGGAAGAGACTCCTGATCATGCAGCATGTTCACTTACTGAGAAAGCTGCCATAAAATGGCATTAGAGATGAAGTCTGAACTGCTGCAGCTAAAACTGCAGCATTCTTTGTTTCCAGAGAAGCTGCTTTGTGAGTAAACCAAGCCATGCCTCTTTTTTCCAATGGTTAGAAGTCCATAGGGAACTGGCAAAGCAAGGAGAGAACTAAGTCTTGAGCAAGTTAAATATGCTCAACAGCGTGCAGCAGGGAGTAAGGAAACTTCAGAGCTGAGTGGCAATGAGAGAGTAGCAAAGAAAGCCCCTTGCAGCTTACAAGTGATGTGGGCAGGAAGTGCAGAAGACTCAGAAGAGATGTGTGGATTCAGGGAGAGGCTCAATGCCACAGCAGCACACAATGAGGCTGCAATTGCACTGCAAGGTGAGTTTTTTCAGAGGTAGATAGCAGATCAAAGGCATGCCCAGTGGTTAAGTACAGCTTAGCTGCCCTTGATGTACTTCTATAGTCCAGGGATTTTTCAAGGTGCATGGCCAAATGACAGAGTGGCAGTCACAGGTCCAGACATGCCCCTAACTATCAGCAGTCAGCCTGCACGTAGCTCTTACACTGTTAGCAGTTATCATGGGGAGACGCAAGGCATCATCATATTAAATGCGAATTTGAGAAAAAAAATGTTTCCTAAACAGATGTAGATAGATGATTTCTGAATGGATGTTCTATTTGTTGAGAAAACACAGGTAAAGGAAAAGAAAACAAAAAAATCTGAAAATAAAGTCTCGTTTCAGTCCTTCTGAGGATGAAGAACCTGTCCTACAAGTCCTGGCAATTGGATATGTGACTGTTTTCTTACAACATGATTCCAAGGAAACTGATCCAGGAGGGAGAGCCAACCTTACAGCTCCTTTCCTTTCTCTCTGCAAAATTGTGACGCTGGCCAGTAGCACACGTGGCTACATTTACCCTCTTACCTGTAAGACCAGATGGCATTATCCTCCCAGCCCATGGCCCTGCCACAGGGACAACCCCTGTATGGATACTAATTAGCAAGCCCACAGCCAGCTGAGGAAATTAGGGTGCCTGAACACAGCTCCCTAGCACAGGGCCCACAGCCCTCAAGGCTTGCCAGACAGCTCTGTGGAAACACTCATTAACTCAGACATCACCACTCAGCTGTAAAGCTCTGTCTCTGGTTTTGCATGCTGAAACAGAACAATACAAGCCAAAAACCAGGTAACTAACACTGGCAGATGAGAGAGCTGTCATCAAAAGATTTCAGAGCCCTTTTTGAAGGAAGCAAATAACCCAGTATGTGGGGAGGGGGATACTTTGGCACAGCACAGGGATGTGACCTGCCTGGCATTACCCAGGAGGCTCAGAACAATCATCTCCTTAACTGTGCACAATGGTTTATGCCTGTAAGCAGAAGAGCCTAAAGGGCTGTTGGGAGCAGAGCTGGGCATTCCCTCTTCCATGCTAAAATGCATCCTCCACCCCAAGCCCTCTCTGGGGTGAAAGGACATTATGTACCTATAGCATCACCTTTCAGATGGGCTACAGCCAACAGAGAGATGGAGAATTTGCACACAAAATCCTTGGTGTCTTTATTTTTGTGGCTGGAATGAAACCCCAGTTCCAGTGCTTCATTATGTTGAGCAAAATTTTTTCTTTTAATTTTTTGAATAATTTTTCCAGTTTACTGTCTTTAACTGACACATAACGTGAGTATGCTGTAATAGGTGCTAAATAGTTTTGCTGTTATTGTTGTAATTACCCCTTCGCAGATGGTGAGTCTGAAAAAAAGAGCAATACGTATACTAAAGAGACACACCTCAGAATTGATTTTTGGGTGCAAATATAATATAATTTCTGTTTTCTGGCCTATATGGTGACACACATCTACACAGGCTTGTGAGCCAGTCATCATGTAGTCAGCGTGTTCTGTGCACTGTGAGGATGCATCTTGTAGCTCTATGTGAAAGGCACTGGAGCTTCCCAGTGGGGTTATTTTTGGTTTGTTTAGTTTTAATGGGAACTATAGGAAGAAGAAGAGAAAAAAAAAAATCACGTAGGCTGGGAAGTAAAGAAAGCATTCAGATGTCGAGAACAGAAACTTACAGTTCTGTCTCCATAGATTTCAAGCAGACTTCTTCCAAAAGGTCAGAAGTATCCCAAGTTGAGCTATGCTGCTTCTCAGCTCCAAATTGCCAAAATGACTGTTCTTACCAGAATGGATGGGGCTACCTATTGTAAGGCAGCCACACGTATTCCTCATGTGCCTGGCTGAGTCTTATTGAATGGCTGGGACTTTTGCTTAGTGTAATTTTTTGCTTAGTGTTATTTTTATAAGAATTTCAGCTCCCATTTTCTGTGTCCCTGTGCTAGAGACCATCCAGGACATTCTGCTCCTGGGCCTGCTGTCCATTTCCTCTGGACATTTGTAATGCATTAGAGAGGGTTGATAAACACAGGCATATGTGAAGAGCAACAACAACAAAAAATCCTGCTTGCCTATGAAGGGCTTATTTAAACTGACGTAAATCTTGAGAAAATTCAGCTCCTGGGAGCAGAAGTGTCAGAACCAGCCATTCAGGCTTTTGCTGTACAATCTAGACAGGTTACGGGGCGATGAATGAGTGCTCTGAATCCACCAAGAAAGCTCCTGCAGGGAAACTTAACCCTAAACTCCACTCCTATAAAGATGCCCACTGAAAGCATATTGAAAACAAAATTCAAAATACACCACTAATTTTTCTATAAGATCTCTTACTTGACTTGTGTTAGGAAGGCTGGATGAGGAAGGGGCAGTGAGGGATACACTGATGTGTAGCAGTAGAATCAAGGAAGAATGGCTTTGAGCTTATATCTTAGAGACAAGACAGACATTTTACCTGTCAAAGTACATAGTAAGCTGTGACTTTATTTCACTGCTGCAGGTAAAGGATTTTGTTTCTCTTTTCGTGATAACCCTACAGCTTTCTGAGTTTTCTTCATAATTTTTAAAGTTCCTATTTTCTGTTTTAGTAATTTGATATTTGATTCCAAATTAGTAGTGTGGCTAATATTGATCTGCTCATTGTAATGCTTGGAACTTCATTCTCTGTTTCTACCAATTAAATTCCTTCCTGTTTGTTTTAATTTGCTAACATTTGCAGAAAGGACTCTATATATAATTAATAAGGATAACCAATTGGTTAATAAGGATTAACCAATAGAGAATTGGTTTTCCTAAGAGCCTAAATAGGACCCTTGTAAATCAATTCCTGGTTATCAGATTCACTTGTTTTTTTCTTACAAAATTATACAGTACTTTTTTCACACATCTCACTTGGGATCCGTGATGGGCTTGTTTGGGGATGAATGAACACTTGTGGCAAAAGAGGTTATTGGCATTGGACCCTCGCCCCATGTGATGAAGAAAGGAAAGAGATGTGTAATTAATTACAATGAGGATTCCAGAGGGAGAAATTAAAGTTTCACTGTTATAGCAGTCCTACCCTATAATGACAAATTATATTCTCTCCTTGAGTTTGCCATAAAGCAAATATGGAAAGCAAGGAAAGAGTTTTTATGGAAGGTCACTTCCATGTTGTGCTTTTCCCATATTTTTCTAACACTGGATTAATCTGGAAATCAGATTTACACAAATGTTGAATATTCACGTCTTAATTGAAACACACTTTAACCAGCTCATCTGGGAGTTGAGGAAGAAGGCAACTTCCCCCCAAAATAATCACAGCTTTGGGAATCAAAAATCAGATACCCCAAAATCAGCAGATAGGTGGAATAAAATTTGTGTTTCTCTGTGCTTCAGTTGTCTCTGAATAGAAATAACAACTCTGTTATAATAATTTCTCAAAACTCACAGTGGTTTTGGGAACATGAAAGTGAATAAGCATTGAAGAGGTCCATAAGAAAATCAATTCTTTTTTAATAGGTTTAGATGGTGCAGATTAGATAAAGAAATTACTCCCACTCTCTGAATACTACAAATTTTTGTTTCCAGAACACTGATAAACCCTTTTTATGCCTTTGCAGATCATACACTGTTATTTATGTTTGTTATAAAAATTATGCACATTTGCATGCTAACTAGGTCTGTCCTTTCAATTCCTGCTCAGTGCTGTTCAGTGAACCAAATTACAAGCATTCCTATTTTCCCACACAATTTAGACCAAACATGTGATAAACCTTCCACATCTCTACCTCCTTATCCCATCCCTTTCAACAGCAAAGGGCCTCCAAAAATATTAAGGGCAGAGAGAGAATACTTGGCTATGGGCTCTAACCTGGCAGGGAGTGCTGACCCCAGGTCCCTTTCTGTGAACATTACTACAGATCTGGAGCAGTTAAAAATTAATAAATAAATCCTATTTGTGCCCACCTCAGCCAGAGCAGAAGAAAAGTGATTACAGTTCTTGTGCATCAAGTGGTACGCGTTCCCTTTGTATTCCTTGCCCAGCTCTTCCATAATCTTATCCACGTCCTCTTCTGTGAAGTCTGTAGTGCCCAAGGCAATGGATTCTCTAGTTAAAAACAAAACATACAACAGGAAAAACAGAAAGATACAGTGAAAAGTGTGATACATACCAAGGGAGAAGGAAATAATCAGATATTGGCAAGAAGGAGAGGCTTAAAATGTTATGGACATGCATATCTGAGGCTATCAGTTATGACTAACAGAATGGCACAATACTATCCACAGCTTTTCCAGAAAGCAAGTTATCACACAGGCAACAGTCCTGAGATCTTCTTGCTCACCACCAGGGAAGTCTCAGCTCTGGGCATCTGCTCCTACTCTGCCCATCATCCCAGAAGAGAAATTTCTATTACAAGAGAGGAGATGTTTTTTCCACAACTGAGAGGGTCCCCTGGGCCAGGAAGGAGCAGACTGAAAACTTTATGCAGAAACCTATTGCTTCTCCCAATATTCACTCAGTAGCACTTCCTCTAAAATGGCCCTCAACATAAACTGGAAGTCTGGCAAGAACAAGCCCCCCTGCCCGGGACATTTCCTTGACCCACGGTCCCACAGTCTGAGCATCTCGAACAACACAAGAATGCAGCATCCTCTCAGGCTCCTCTAACAGCCAGTCTTCCCTTGAATGAGCAGCAAAAAACAGAGCAGCAAAAAACACACACAATCACTTCAGGTACTCTGTGCAGTATCCACAGATAGGGGATCCTCATAAAAGGAGAAGTCTTATTTTTTCCCCCTGTGCATTTGCTCTGTGTAACAGGCAAAACTGGGAGCACAGAAGACGAATAAAATGAGAAGAGTGAACTGCACTCATTCATAAGCATACTTTTAATCCCTGACAAACAAGGCTCATCACTGTTCCCTGTTTGCTGTACACATTCTTTTATCCACCTCCAAAATCCCTGCAGGGTTGCCTTTGAATCAGGATCATGGAAAGGATGACAGTGAGGGCACTTAGGAGGAGAGTGAAAGGAGGACCCAGAGGACAGGACTTGCCTGCTCCCCCTATACTGATGGCTACCAGGGGCAGAAGGGAAGATGTAGAAAAGGGCCCTTACTTGAATTTAAAGGTCTCGCCAAGTTCTACCGCACTGCCAGGTGTGATCTCGAAAATCCCACTGAAAGGGTAGGGATGCCCTCCATAGGCAAACTCTGACAAGAGAAGAAACAGACTGTGAGTAATTGAATGAACGCCATGTCAGGAAAAAGTCTATGGCAGCTGTCTGCATGGCTCAACATCAGCACCAGGGGCTGGGCTGTTGCCAAAATCTGTTTCAGCCAGACTCTAAAAGCTGTTTTCCCTGCCTAGTTACCTTTTGGACTGAGGATGCCCTCACCACCTCCCTCCATGCTAGCAGTACTGCTTTCCCACAGCACCAGGAAAACTCTCCAAGTCTGTCTCTGTCGCCATCCAAGTGACTTTCTCTCAGTGGAAAGTCCTGCATTGAAGGAATCTGGCTAAACTGTGAGAGGCTTCCAGTGGTGCTATGGAGCTGGAAGAAGCTGTTTCTAAGTAGGGAAAAATCAAATCTTCCAGAGGGATTTACAGGCAGTGAGTGGGAAGTCTGCAGAAAGCCAGGCTGATTGTACTCTGCTGCCTCAGCACACAGGTCAGGCCAGGGAGGCCCTCCATGTCATACAGGTCACCTTGCAGGGCCTGTGAAAGCCTCTGTGCCCAAGAAGGAAATAGCACCAACAGGGGTTCTGGCTACTGCAAGGCACTGCATGAAAACACCATGAGTGTGTAGCCAAGTCATTCCCATTTAATACTGAAAAAGGAAACAAAGTCTGTGATGCTAGTTCATCCATCCCCACACTACAGATGTTTTCCAGATCCCTTTTTAAATGGGTGGCTCTAATCAGTTTGCACCCCATGCAGACAATTTCAAAAGTCTTACGTGACATTTTTCTTTCTTTGTAATTCTGCTGTTTCAAATCAACATTTTCCAGTATCTGGAAACCCAGATTCTGAGATTTCTAGACCACACTGATAAAGAAGAAATGGAGAAAAGATTTTTCCTGACAGGGAATTAGCACAAACACATCTTCAGGCCTTAAGACAAGTCCCTGATCCAGCTCTCTTCCCCCTCCCTCATTTCTCCCATTCTCTCTCCCCCTCCTTCACCACAGAATGGCTTTCCAGCAGTGCTCCTCCCATCTGCCATCCTGCAACACACCTGCACAAGCTGTACAGGCTGCATTTACAGGCTGAATAAGAAGGACTACATGGGTCATAACAGAGCATCACGAGTCCCTCCTAGGCTCCACAATGGACTCTGAAAAGAGAATGGGCTGAGTTTTTCAGTTTTTATCCCTCAAAACATTCCTTGCCAAAAGCTGTAAGTTTGGGGTGCTTTTCCATATCAGACCAGCCATACAGTTGTCCTCATGTTCTGCAGGTAGTAAAAGGGAAATGCTTCATACCTCTGCCGTAGATCTCGATGCCAGAGTGGAAGACACCAATCCCCAAGGTGGAGGTGTATTCATTTATCCAGTACTACAGTAAGAGAAAAGCCACATTGGGAAGCATTAGTGGAAAAGAAACACATGATCTTGGTCTAGGGTACATCCCCCATCTCCCCAGCTCCTCTTAAGGAGAAGAGAGATTTTGAAATTATCTTGAGGCAAACAAATTGAGACTCTTACAGACCAACAGAAGTGGGCACTGTGTTTATTCAGCTGGACTGGATTAGCTCTCAAAAAAATGCTCATCTAACCCTTTCCACCTAAGGTACTAACCTGCATTAAGATACAACTGGACCTGAACCTGCATAAACCCAGCTGCTATAGGATGTGTGATTATTTATCTATCTTCTCACCTAATTGCTGACAGTGAGTCAGTTTTATCAATTCACTTGCCTTATTTAACCTTCAAAATCTTCAGTAAGAAAATCCCCAATTATTTTCCACACACCTTGTAACATCACCTCCCAGCACCCCTACTTATTATTAGCTTGGTTTTAGGCAAAGAGATCATAGAGATGGAACTTCGTTGCCCCAATTCAGAGAAATTTTGTTGCCCCAAGGTCAGAGAAATTTTCAAGAGGAGCTGTGCAGTGACTCCTTTGTCTGGAGCCCAGCGTTCCCCCGTTGCATTTAGAGCAGAGAAGCACTGCAGTCCAGTGCATGCGTGTGACGCTCCTCCACCAAGCACTGCGCAGGGCCTGTTTCCACCACGCCGTGAAGGACAGTGCAGACACCCAAACAAGTCCCAGCTAAGCTCATTCCAGAGCAAGAGGCTGTACAGCCATGCCAGGGCAATGCTGCATTGGAGATAATTAGCCCTGCTCAGCATCAGTGTTTATTAGGTCAGCTGCAGAGCTGCACTGCTACAGAAATGATGTTTTCAGGCACTGAGGAAACTGCCCATGCCTGGTATATTTGCAGTTCACTTACAGCTGCTGTGCAATGAAGATACATCTTCTGGTAACTTAGAGCAACGAAATTCTGTTTTTAATCTACCACTGCGAGGAAAATGAGTGCTGTTCACTTGTTCCTGTACAAGGACATGACAGGCTCATTAAACTAAAATTCTCTTCTGGGTCTGGTAGCAGCTTCTTGTGGAACCAGAATAAGCTGCATCTTCCCTGTGTCTGGTGTCACTGAGCTGCCATGGTATGAGTAAAAGCCCCTCTGTTGTTAGGCAGCCAGAGGTCTGGCACACTGCAACTACTGGGCTTGCACTACTTGCTTATGTATTTATGATGACTGCAGTAGCTCTGTAAATTACCTGAAAATGTTTTCTGCAAAACCACTGCTACTGTGAAAAAACACAGTAGCTTTGATATAAAAGCTACAGACCCAAGCCTGACTTAATGCATGGCTAATCTTGATATCTTAAACTATGTCCCCCAAAAATGCTTGCCTCTGGCAGTACAGCAGTTCCATTTCCCTCCAGAAAAGGCTGCAATACTTCTTGTTCTTTGTGATTTTTTAATCACAAATTATATATTGTTGCAGGAGGGCAGCAAACTGCCTGACCCTGGGTGGACTTCTGCCCACTGCTCTCTGCAGACCTTGTGTAACCTCCATTTACTTCTTCACTTGAATTATGCAAACTCTTGCTTTTAGGGTCAGGTAGCTCTCAGCCTCTACCAGCTGGGACAGCACATTAGCAGTGAACCCTAGATTGAACACCATGCCTGGTATTTAGGTGCCCTTGCCTTCTGCTGCCCTTCCCCACAGTTCACTGTTGCCTAATAATCTTATAGCAGGAATATCCCTACTCTGACTGGGGAAGAAGATAGAGGTGATGGCCACCCATGATACCATGGGACAAAAGCCTGTCTCCCCTGGACACAAAACCCTCCATTCAGTTCCTGAATCTCCCACACATCACAGAATTTTTAAGGTTGGAAAATCCCTCTAAGATCATCAAATCCAGCCAACAACCCAGCAGCACCACCATGTTCACCACTAAACCATGTCCTCAATGCCATATCTCATAATTTTTTAAATACTTGCAAGAATGGTGACTCCACTACTTCCTTGTACAGTCTGTTCCAATGCTTGACAACCCTTTTTGTGAGGATATTTTTTCCTAATATATATTCTGAACCTCCCTTTTCACAGCTTGAGGTCATTTCCATCCTGTCACTTGTTGCCTGGGAGAAGAGACCAACCCTCACCTCGCTACAGCCTCCTGTCAGGTAGTTGTAAAGAGTGATCAGGTCTCCCCTGAGCCTCATTTCCTCCAGGCTAAACACTCCCAGCTCCCTCAGCTGCTCATCAGACTTGTGCTCCAGACCCTTCACCAGCTCTGTTGCCCTTCTCTGGACCTGCTCCAACATCTCAACGGCTTTCATGTAGTGAGGGGCCCAAAACTGGACAAGTGCAGGACCTGGCACTTCACCTTATTGCCCCTCGTATGATTTGCCACAGCTCATTGATCCAGCCTGTCTAGATCCCTCTGCAGAGCCTTCCTACCCTCAGGCAGATCAACATTCCTGTCCAACTTGGCCTTGTCTGCAAACTGACTGAAGGGGCACTCATGGGTTAACTCCTCGGATAGTCTCAGTGAGCCTCAGAGAAACACAGATTTCTCAAGTCCTACTGAAACAAGTCCCCCATGATATGGGAAGTAGGTTGTCTTCTTCCCTCAGGCTGAGCTGTTGTCTTAGGGCAACAATACAATCAAATAATGCCCAGGTCATGCCAACTGCTTTGCTTAGAGAAGTAACTAATAGGAAGAGAAGGGAGACTTTTTAAATCAGAAATACTCTTGCCAGTTATCAAAATCAGGGCTATGTGCAGAGCCTCATCTTCATCAGGCTTTTTATTTCAAACAAGGAAGTTACACCAAAAGCACCTTGCAGCTATAGCTTTTTCTTCTTCCATATGAAAGGTTGTTGGATCAAAACAACAATAAGCAAAGAAGCAAGAAAAAACGCTCTCTAAAAACATTAATGTTCTGATTCTTGACCACCTCATACGTGCAGAGCACTCTCAGATCACAAGCCTGCCCTGTGCCACAAGCACTCTTCTTCACAGCACAGAATTTCATCCCCTGCAATGCATCCTGCCCAACTCCAGGAGCAGACAGACAGGCCTCAGGACAGCTCTGAAAGCACAAGTGAAGAGGAGGCTCCTCCAGATACAAAGAAGAGAGGAGCAAAAGTGTTTCTCTGGCTAATACCAGGTGTTGCAAGATTATGACTATCACATGGACATTTCTGTAGTTAAATGGTGTATTTTTCAGTATTAATTCCTTTAAACGAGCTATTGTGGACTGAAGTGAAACAAACTCAACCATGAAGCTATCCTGATTTAGTACTTTTTTCAAATAATTTCAATCACACAAGGGTGTTATTGAAGCGGGGTCTGATTTGCATCGTGGTTCAGTTGATACAATACTGGTATGACCTACTAGCAAGACCAAAGTGCAAGGCAGCTTTGAATCCTGGCTGTACTGTCCTCATCTCACCCCTGTCTCCAGGGTGCTGTAGATTCTGCCTGCAGTGTGTGACTGAACTCACAGTGAACGCCTCACAGCACTTTGGCATAGCCCCCGGCTTGTCTCGGGAGGAAGCTATGCTAAAGTGAACATGTCAGTCACTTGCTGAGCAGGAAAAGAGAATCCAAGCCAGATTTGAAACCAGGTTTGTACACACATGCACGAGCTGGCCTTGTTTTCCAAGGGGTTTGCAATTCTGAGCATAAGAACAGCAGCAACAGTCAGCAAATACTCATCTCTGGAGTAAATTGGTTATGGCTTAGATTAAAAACAAAAATCGGCAGCCTGTTCAGTCAGATGAAGAGCCAGGGAACTGAATACAGCAATATCTTAAAGGGAGTTGTGATTCATGCTTGCATTGCATACTGCCTGGAAAATTGTGCCCTAAACCATACACAGAGGGACTTTGAGCATTCTGTCTTATTTCCGTCTTCAACAGAGAACAACTCAGAAGATAACAGAGGCAGGGAGGAAGGCTAACCAGGCTACAATCACTTCATAATAGCAGCAGATAGCCCAAAACTTCAAATCCAGAGAGGAACCTTTGCATTTAGTTTGTAGTGTATCAGTTAATAGCTTTTAATGAAGGTCTCTGATGAAGTAGAATTCGAAAATGTTCAGGTTTTATTCAGATCTTCCCTGATTTTTTGTTGGTTTGGTTCAGAGGTCAGTAATGACCAGTGAGATAGTTTAGATTCTTTAGACTCTACGTCAGTTCTTGTGTTGTTCCCTTCATTTATCCATCTAACAGAGGTATAAGTAAAAGACTTACCAGAACACTGAACCATGCCCTAACTTTCCAGAAAAGAAAGAAACTAAAAGCTTCATTATATTGACATGCATCTTCCAGGTCTAGAGTGGAGAAGCAGATGATGTGATACTGGCAGATTATATCATCCTGGGGGTTTTCAGAGCAGGAGTTCCTAGGAACTCATACCAGAAACATGAGTGTCCAGATAGAAGAGGCCCATCCATGTAACCACTAACTTCCACCATCAACTAATACTGTACATTGAAGTAAGCTTACTTCAATACTGTAACATTGAAATTTATCACTAACTCTCTCTTCCCTACTTCAGACCTACTTCATTACTTTCCATGGTGTGTCACCAAAATCTTTCCTGCATCAATATGCTCAGCAGTTTGACTAAACAGCTCCCCACATGCTGGAGACAAGACCTCTTCCATGAATATCGCAGATATTCTGAGCACTCGATACTTTCTCTGAGCAGCCAACACACTAAGCAATATTCCATTTATCACCACAATACTGACTGGATATTCCACTCCACCAGATCCATCCACTACTGAACAGATGCTAAGCTCTCCTTCGTTATGATCTGTATGAACACATAGGAAAGAAATCCACCAGTCGTTAATTAGATCTGATTTCAATAAGTAGCTGCAAACTCAGAGTACCCAGTGTCACAGATCCTTGCCAAGAGCTCTACTCTTCACCAGGTATCACACACAAGCATTGTCTGAGCCAGCATAGAGAGAACTTGGCTCTGACCTCACCTGGTGCTCTGATGTCCAGGTATGAC